GAGGAGGAGGAGGAGGAGGAGGAGGAGGAGGAGGAGGACAAGTACTTGGACGATTATGTTCTTTACCACGCCCTGCGTGCAAGCGGCTTCCCGAGTTCCTCCGCAACCGCGGAGCTGATTGGATTGTGCCCACAATGGCACACAAACTTCGGCGCTGAGCTCGCGGCGATCGTCATGAACTCATTCCACAAGGCACGTGCGAGGACGAGTACTTGGACGGGGAGGCCGAGGACGAGGCAGGGCGCAGTTTTCCTTTTCTGTGGCGCGGGCCCCTACCCACAGGGGCGCTCCAGAGAGGGCCTCGCCCTCGAGGGTCGCAGGAGCTGCCCTCTCTTCTGGCATTTCGCCTCCTCCTCCTCCCCCGACTCCCCCTTTCCTACCCCTCCCTTCCTCCTCCTTCCTCCTCCTCCTTCTCCTCCTCCCTCCTCCTCCCCCTCCTCCTCTTCCTCCTCTTCCTCCTCGTCCTCCTCCTCCTCCTGCTCCTCTTCCTCCTCCTCCTCCTGCTCCTCCTCCTCCTCCGCCTCCTCCTCCCCCCCGGCTTCGGGGCAGTGTCAGGGCGGGTGGGCGGTCAGCTCGCGCCGTGCATCCGCGTGCACGTCCGCCCAGCTGTACTTATGAGTTCTTGCCAAGTTCGGGGCCATTGCTTGTCTTGGGGCTCCGTTTACGAGTCCACGTCGGCGCGCCTGGCGGTCATGGGCGTGGATCCGATCAGCGGTCGCGTTGCGCGTCCCTTGTCGGTGTCGTTCCGGATATCCGAGCAGACGAAACGCAGGTTGTATTGGTTGTCCGCTTTCCATTTCAGTGGCCTCATCACATCGCCCAGGACCCGCCACTCTGGGCTTCCGAGGGGAACGCCGGGTCCACCAGTCGAACGGGGGCGACCAGCAGGCGAATTGTCTTTAGTTTCGAGAGCTGCGTCCGCTGGGGCGGTTCTCAGGCATGGCGAAGTTGTCATATCAAGGGCAAAAGTTCCGAGCGAGCGGGGCGCTCGAGACATGGCATCGCCTTCGAGGATCGCAGGAGTTGCCGTGTCCTCCACGGCGGAAAGCGACGGAATAGCGGCTGCAATCCGCGGAAATAAAACGAGGCCGTTTCCGCCGGCGGAAGCTGGCGGAAGGCCGGCGGGAACCGGCGGAAGTAAGAGATGCGCCCCTGAGAGATGACGACATTTTTGGGTTCAGGGTTTCCGAAAAGCCGCCGGCGCTCGCCGCCGACTGAGGGTCAGGGGGGGCAGTGAGGCTTTCGAATATTGAGGCTTGGGGCCGTCGGGCACCCTTTCGTTCGCGCTCGGCGGCGCGCGCTGGGGGCGCCCTGGTTGTCCCGAGCTGCCGCGGGGGGCCCGAAACTACGACCCGAAAGCCACCCTTTGACGGGCTCAGGTGGGGAACCGTCGACCTTGCATCGGCGGTGCATCGCCGACAAATCGGCGGTTGGCCCCTCGATGGCAAATCCCAGCGTTTCTGGGCGGGGTGGGGCTATCAGGCCCCGTCGGCGATCAGCGGGCGATCGTGGGCCGATGCGCCCCCCGTTGAGCGTGCGTTCGGAACCGATGGTGAGGATGCGCGATGAGGATGCCAGCCCCTTTGGGGCGCCCATGTCGGGGCTCTGCCTGCAGGGCTGGCCACCGATGGTGGTTAAGGATGGACGGGCGAAGCGCGGGCGCAAGGGTGCCCTTGGGGATGTTATCCATCCGTGCCATCGCTAGCTCCGCATCGCTTCAAGCAGTGGCGAAGCGTCCTGGCTCGCCTACAGGCCAACCAAACAGTATTTGGGTTCTAAGAACATTTCGTGGCAGGCCTATAGGAATACCGGGACGGTCGGTCCCTGCTCAACCGTTGCCCCTGTCCGACGCTTGCAAGTCCCGCGCCTGTTTCCGCCCGCCTCGGCCGACCCCCCGTCGTCGCCGGCGTTCGCCCGCCGCCGCCCGCCCCCTAGTTGCCGACGCTCGCTCGCCGCGCGCGTGCCGCGTAGCAGAGGACGAGCCCGCGGTAAATTCGAAGCGGCGGCTGCTCGGTCCAGGGGGGGGGGGGGGCGGGGGAAACGCGCGCCGCCGCCACCAGGCCGAAAAGGATGTCGCGATAAAATTATCACTCCGGTTTCTTCGGTGCTCACTGCAGTACTGAATGGGCGCCCCCCTCCCCCGCCGCCGCCATTTTGAACTGATTTGGGCCGGCGAGCCCGCCGCCGTTTTGTTGGCTGTTCCCCGTGCTTGGTTTTTCATATGAGTTCCCAACCCTCCTGCGTTGGGTTCTCGTTTTGAATAGAGCACTGCTCGCGTGTCTCCTTCCTTCCTTCCTTCCCGTCCCTCTCTTCCCCCCTGCCTTTGACCTCGCCATCCCTGGGGGGCTGCGATCTGTGAAACTGTCGCCACTTTCGAGGCCTGCTGGGGGGCCCAGCACAGTGGGTACCCACCGCGGACTCAAATTAGACCTCGCCATCCCTGGGGGGCTGCGATCTGTGAAACTGTCGCCACTTTCGAGGCCTGCTGGGGGGCCCAGCACAGTGGGTACCCACCGGCGGATCAAATTAGACCTCGCCATCCCTGGGGGGCTGCGATCTGTGAAACTGTCGCCACTTTCGAGGCCTGCTGGGGGGCCCAGCACAGTGGGTACCCACGGCGGACTCAAATTAGACCTCGCCATCTCTGGGGGGCTGCGATCTGTGAAACTGTCGCCACTTTCGAGGCCTGCTGGGGGGCCCAGCACATTGGGTACACACGGCGGACTCAAATGGGACCTCGCCATCCCTGGAGGGCTGCGATCTGTGAAATTGTCGCCACTTTCGAGGCCTGTTCGTTGTCAAACATTTTTTGGGTGGTGAGTTGGCTTGTTGTTGTTTTTCACCGTTCAAGTGAGATTTGTTTTTGATTATAGGTTCCAGGAAAGAGTGTCAGCAGTGATTATATATTATTGATATTTTATAAACTGATTTTGAAATATGTTGCTCGCCATTTTTAATTTCCACTGATTTGCAATTTTCCCGCCGCGAGTTTTTTCATGGGAGTCCCGATTGATATGTTCGGATTGGATCGCCCCGCCGCCGTTTTTTCGCTCATCTCAGTGAGTGATTATTAAAATGTTTCTCGCCGCCGGTTTTTTCCTGATATGCAGTTCTTTCTTGTGGTAACGGTGTGATATAAAATTGGTTACGTTTTGTAATCATGCGATGGGTTGTTATTTGGGGCAGGGTTCGCCCGATCAGCGGCCACTGCCCTATAATTGAAAACCCAGGCTGGCCGAGAGGTCTTGGCGAGAAAGGGGGGCTTTTCAAAATTAGGGAAAACCCGTGTTATTGGGGCGTTCGTTTTGCATTATGATGTACTCGTTGCGCATCGGAAGTAGGAGGCTCGAAGGCTGGAGAGGGAGTCTCGGGAAATGATGGCGTTATTCAGTTTTCGTTGTTTTTTCGAGGGCGTTCGGGTTCAGTTCCGTGGCGTCTGAAGGGTTCCAGCCGGATTTTTTTATCCCAGCGTCCATGAGTTTCCTCGTTCGAAGATTGTTGCAATGATGTGATGGGTTGTCACTTGGCTAGGGTTCGCCCGATTAACGGCTACAGCCCTACAGTTGAAAACCCGGGTTGGCCGAGAGCTCTTTGGACAAAAATGGATTTGTTTCAAAATCAGGGCAGGCGCGCGTCATTTAGGCGTTCTGTTTGCATTCTCATGTAGCCGTTGTGCGTCGGGAGAGGGCGGTTCGAAGGCTGGGCTGGATCTAGAGAAGCGATTGCGTTTACAAGGGTTCGTTGCTTCTCGCGGCAATTCGGGTCTCGGCGGCATAGATGAGATGAGGGCCTCGTCGATGGCGTTCAGCTTGCCGTTGTGTATGGAGGCTTCCGGCAGGAGTTTCATATTCCAGCATTTTTGCATTTCCTCGCTCGACGGTCAAAGTTTGCCCGGTCGTTCGAAACTGCTTCTTTGTTCGACCGAGGAAGTGTTCCCCGCTCGCCCGAAATATTTCCTTCGTAGAGTTTGCGGGATTGTCCGGTTCGCCGGGACAGAATTTCTTCGCGCGCCCGTCGAAATTTCTTCGCTCGGCCGAACAGTTGTTCCTTCCGCCTATCGAGGCGTCCGGAACAGACGCTGTAAAACAAGTGGCGCCAATCGTGCTTCGGTTGTGGATCACAAGCCGTCTGACTTGATCGAAGACTCCCACGGCGAATCGCTGCCGCCCCCGTGCCTGTTAGAATCGTCCATGTGGCCGAGCGTGTGGCACGAAGTCTGCAAAGCTATCGGACCATGTGTTCCCCAAACCGTTGTGGAAACCCTTCGGGGAACATTAGGGGGAGGATTGCGGGGAAGATCTGAAGGAGGAGGAGGAGGAGGAGGAAGAAAAAGGAAGGGGCATCTTGGGAGCCTCTGGGGGCACTCTTCGGGCATCCTGGTTGCTTCCCGGGAGCCTTTCGGAGGCATCTTGTGGGAGGGCCCCCCTTGGGCCTCATGGGGGTCTTGGGGGTTTCTCCCTGATCCTTTTGGGTTTCCATGGTTTCGCTATGGAAAGCTTGATTGTCCCGCGCCAAAAATCAATGGACGTCCTGGGGTCTCAGGGCTGGGTTTCTTGTGGAAGGTTTCTTGTGGTCGAGCTCTTACAGTCGGGGCCCTGAAGAAGGAACCCTCTTGGTTGGGGAGGGGCCCCGCGTTCCCTAAGTGTTTCGCAGCGTGCCTTGGATGTTCCTTAGGTTTTCGATCGGAAATCGAAGTTCAACTCATGGAAAAAAGGAGCCTCGTTCCTTACGTAGGGATCCTTAGGTCAACGCCCCGACTGTACACCTTAGGCGATGCTTAAGAAAACTTAAATTTTCGGCCAGAGTCTCGTTTATTCTTAATGTTTCCATGTAAATCCTAAGATTTGAATAGAATTGTTGGGTTTTTATTCAACTTCTGAGACTATGAATTTCTTAACCCATGATTTCTTAAGCATTTCGCAGGGTGTACTGCAATGTGCTATTCCTTTGCTCCGACCTGTGCAGACCCCGCTTCCGTCCCGCGCCGCCGGGGCGCCCAGGCAGCCTGAAGCTCCGCGCCGCTGGCGCCCGGGCCCGCGCCGCCTCCGGCAGCCCCGCGGCGGGCGGCCCCGGGCCGCGCCCCGCGCCGAGGGGGGGGGGCGCCGCCGCCGCAGCAGCGGCTGCTGAAGGGGCCCAAGGACACACCAATAAATACACACATTTTTTCCATGCTTCACATTTTGCCATATTTTCGGGCCCCGAAATATGCTTTATATTTTCCCATATTTTCGGGGTTTCAGCCTTCTCCCCCACTTCCCATATTCCCCCCATATTTTCTGGGGGGTCGACGATGAATTGTTTCTGTGTTTTTTCCCCTCCTGAGCTGCTGCTGTCCGTCGCTTGTCAGGAGGGAAAAAAACACACAGACACAATGAATCGTCGATTCCCCAGAAGATATGGGAAAATACGGGACGTGGGGGGGGAAGGCGAAGACCCAGAAAATATAAGAAAATATGAGGAATGTTTCTATTTGTGTGTATTTAATAGTGTGTCCTGGGGCCCCTTCCGCTTGAGCGGCGCAGGCAAAGGGGGCCGTCTGCGCCGACCTTGCGCGCGCAGGCTGCCCGCGCAAGGTCGCGCGGGAGCGCTCCGTCTCTAAGGGGCGGGCGTTGCTAGAAGTGCCCCTGGCCTTCAATATATCGAGAGTTTATATTCCTAGAAGTAAAAAACCCTTTAATTTACCCCAAAAACCCAAAGTGCTAGATAGAAGTGTTGGTGTTGCTAGAAGTGCCCCTGGCCCAAGGTTGCTTCTCGCTCCACTTTGGAGAGCCCCTGGGGTCCCCTAGGGCCTCGTGGTGGGGTGCCCTGGAGGCCGCCTGGGCCACCCCGAGGATCCTGTGGGTACCTTGGGCCAGGGGTACTTCTAGCAACACCCGAAATGAGGCGTGCCGCACGGGCGCCCCGCGTAAGCTGCGGCGCAAGGTCGTTGTGTCATCTCGCGTGAGGCCCGTTTGCTTTTTCGTCGGCCACCTCGGGTGCACCCGACGGCCTGGGCCCGACCCGCCCGCCTCCCTAGACCGACGACGTGGCGCTTCTGTTCCCTGGTTCGGCTACTCGCAAGAGTGACCTTTCACCGGAGTGACCTTTGGTGCAGGCACAATGGGGTCCCCCGATCACCGATTGCGATGCGATAGTAGCGTCCTGCGCGCCTGAGTTTGGTCCCCCCGCGGCCCCCCAGAAGCCGCGCACCAAAGGTCACTCTTACCCAGGGTCACTCTTGCGTGCAGCCGACTAGTGTTGTCGACGACGATCCATGGAGAGGAAGCGTGTTGCCAAATACTTTCATGATCTCCAAAAGATGTCTCGAGCATGTCTCAAACATGGAACAGCATGCTGTGGACACGTTAAGAACATCCTTCAAGCATGTCAGACACATGCTCAGCTCCATGATAAGGTTGTTAGGGTGTCCACTGCCCTGGCATCCACAACCCCAGTGAAATCGGGAACTTCTGGAGAGCGTGTCGCTCCGCCGGCTCTGGCCCACCACGCTGCGGCGCTGTCCACTCCGCAACCCCCCGGCGTCGGCGCCCCGAGCTTCGCCGAGCCTGCCGCCCCCGGGAGCGGAGCGGCACGCCATCCGCTCGCAGGGCACAGCGTGTCGCGGGGTTCCGCCCTTGCTGATGGGCAAGTCTTCCACCACCACTACCATGTGTGAGACGGGGAAGAAGGGAGGATAAGGAGGTCCGCATCCTCCTCCTCCTGCTCCTCCCCCTCCTCTTCCTCCTCCTCCCTCTCCTACCTATGGTAGTGGTAGTGGGAAATGGGCCCATCACTTGCGACACGCTATCCAAACGTTCCTGACCGGAGCGTTTTGCCAGAGGTTTCTGGCGGAGGTGGAAAAGACCACAGAAGCGTCTCACACGGGGGGCCGCGCGCAGTCACAAAAGCACTCCGGATGAGACAGCGGCCCTTGTGGAAGTGATTGTCGGGGCTGCCAGGGACCCCGCATTGAACAAAATAAGGCATCGGCTCACTGAGTCCCCCCCTCGATCTTCCTCGATGCTCCTCTCCTCCCTCCTCGATCCTCGACCTTCCTCGTTCCTCGCTCCCTCTTCCTCGACCTTCCCCGAACCCCAGTTTCGAGAGGGTTCCGTTTACTTGGAGCCAGCTGTGGGGGTTGAGGTGGGGCATCACTGGTTGCAGCCGTCAAAGGGAGGGGGAGAGATGCACCATTGACCACTGCACGTGCACTGGTTTCGCTCCCTGTCCCCTCTGGGCCGCCTTCTCCAGATTGGCTGGTGAATGGGACTCAGAATTCGCCCCCTTTCCTCTCCGAGACCGGCTTTACGGGTGCCCATCCAGAGCAGAAGCCCCGAGCCGCGTCCAACGCCTTCTCTGCCAGCCTTTCGATTTTTATCGACTCTTCCGTCGCCCCGCCCTCCCTGGCCTCCGCGTGCGCGTGTGCACTGCCTCCTCCATCCCTCGATTTGCCTTGATCCTCCTCCCCCCTCCCACCCCTTTCCCTTGACCTTCCAGAGAGCTAGCACATGATTCCGACCATCGAACCCCGCATAACAATCTCCCAAACTGATCTGGAGGCGAGCCTCATCGTCGTCCCCGTGCGTGCCGAGGCTCCCCTTCCCGTCGCCTCGTCGCCCTTTTATCGTTACAAGAAGTGCGTCTGTGATGGGCCTGTTCGTGGTTCTGTCAGAGGCCCTGCCATGCCTTGGGCGGGTGAGAATCAGGCCCAGGGTGCGTGGTAGCGTGTCGGCCGAGGTGTTCGCAAGGCAGGCACATCTGGCAGCGCATCCCCGTTCCAAACCCCATGTGGCGACAACGCAGGTCCTCCGCAGCCAGGTCTTGGCTCAGGAAGAGAATCTCGTGCCCCGACCAAAGCCAAAACTGCACAACGGGAGCACTTGTGGGCGGTACCCGAGCAGCTCACGATGGCAGGGCTTCCTGCTCATCTTCCTTTTGTCGTTGCTGCCAAAGCCCAGGTGGTTATCACTAAATCGGAGAAGGAGGAAGGCTCTCGATTGCCCTGGTCGAGGGCGTAGTCACAGCAATATAAGCCTGGTGCACTACACAAAGCTAATGGACGCGGCGAAGGCAACATGAGCATCGATCATGCAGAAGTTGTCGGAGCTTGGGAAGGATCTCGAACCGTTTTGCCCGTCGCAGAACAAATGCTAGCATTATCGGCGAAGCGCAAGAGGTTGATATTCAGAAGCTGCACGTGCGAGCGTAGTTGCACCCCTGTTGGGGCAGAGGGGAAGTCGGCTATCACGGGCCTGGTGGATACGTTGTTCTGACATAGTCTTGAAGAGTTGCGCCAGATTCGGATTGTTTAGTTGGCCGAGATTCAGTGTATGCTGGGCGATATGTCTGCTGCTTGGGTTCGCTGTCCGATGGGGCTCGAAGCTCGGCAGAAAGCGGCAGCTGTGGCGGCAGCCAAGGCAACAGCAGGACAGTCATCAGGCGGCAGTGCAGGAGAGATGGGGGTCGATTCTCGTGCGGCGGATGATGCCAGTGACCAGCTACAGTCGGGGCGCTGAAGAAGGAACCCTTTTCGTTGGGTAGGGGCTCCGTGTTCCTTGATCGTTTCACGGCTTGCCCCGCGTTTTCCTCAGGTCTTCGAAGGGAAATCGAAGCTCAACTTCTGGAGAAAAGGGGCCTCGTTCCTTACTTAGGGTTCCTTAGGTCAGCGCCCCGACTGTACAGCACTCGGTGGAGTCGGAGTCGGCAGGCCGATGCCAGCAGCTGCTCGTGCCGTGATGCCAGTGACCAGCTGCAGCACTCGGTGGAGTCGGAGTCAGGCAGGCCAACGCCAGCAGCTCTTCGTGCCGCTGTCGGGCTTCATGCGGGGCCCGGCGGCCATATGCCCAGGAAGGCCCGAGACCCGGCAGCACCTCGGGCGAAGCCTTGGCCCAGGTGCCGTCGGGGCCCTGCAGAAGGAGCCCTTTTTGTTTGGGGAGGGGCTCCGTGTTCCTTCTTCGCTTTCCAGTGCTCCTTGGGTTTTCCGGAGGTTTACCATGGAGCATCGGAGTTTATTCGTTCCTCGTTTATCGTTCCTTAGGTCAGCTCCCCGAGTGTACCCCGTTGTTCGCTTCCCGTGGGGCACCTTGCACTGAGGTCCTTGGAGGGCATGCTCCCGGGCATCATGGCGGCGGTGCGGAGCGGCCGTGCCAGTCGGTGGTTGGTCGGGCCCACCGCCGACGTCTATTTAGCGGACGGCGACCCCGTCGGCAGAACCCCGCCCCTGGCATCTCAACTCTGCAGCAGCAAGGGTGGGGTGGGGGGGCAGTGAAGGGGGATGCGCTGGGACGCGCTGGAGCTGCGGCGACATCTGGCTCGGTTGATTGCACATCGTTGGCGAGCGCGGTCACCTGGCATTTTTTCCAAAATCGGATTGGCGGCGCGAGGATTCAGACAGCGAGAGCGCGCTGGTGGTTGCGGCGCGTGCCGCGGCAGTTCGAATGTCGTGAATGTATTTGTCCAGCTTGCTGGCTGTTGAACTCGTTCGTCCATCAGTGGCCCGAGGCCCGTTTCTGGGTGGCATTGGGCGCTCGCAAGTGGGTTGCGCGGGTGCGGCGACCCTGAGTTCATCGTCGATTGGTCCGGCCGGCGCTGCTATTTCCGATTTTTCGCGCCCTCGGTCCGTTGATTTCCTTTGCGCCGGCGCCTTCTTTTGCGCCTGTTTGTTGCATGGGTCAACATTGGAGACGGACCCTTCCCCGCCCGCACCCCCCCCCGCCCAGTTGTTTGATTCAGTGCCAGACTGATTGACTGGGTCCCTGGACTGGCTATTTGACTGCGTCCGAGACTGACTGATTGATTGATTGGGTCCATAGACTACGCGCGTCCCCGACTGATTGACTGGGCCTCTGGACCTGAGGCCCTAAACTGATCGCTGTTTGACTGATTGCCTGGCCCCCTAGACTGATTGACTGAGTGGTTGACTCGGTCCCAAGACTGCCGGGCTCTAGCCTGATTGGCTGACTGAGTCTCAGACTGGGCTCCTTCACTCACCACCCACCAAGCCACCCCAACCCAACCCGAAGGCTCAAATTTACCCTCGATTTCCAGTGGGGGGGGGTCGGGAAACATCGAAAATACGCATGTGGAACCCTTGCCCCCCCAACCCGAAATTCGGGTCTTCGGGTTGGGTTGGGGTGGTCTGGTAGGTAGTCCTTCACTCACTGACAGATTGGCTGGGCCCCCAGATTCAGAGAGTGGCTGACCGGCCAGGTGCCCCTCGCAACCTGGCGGCGACCGCAGAGGCCGCGCCGCCCAGGGGCGAGACGCCCACAGACGAGGTTCCTGCTCGAGCTGTACTCCACACGCAAGTAGGAGGAAACTCGTAAAATCAATGGTTTTGGCTTCAAAGAAGAGGGGAGCTTCAATTGAGGCTGCCTCCCCCCCCAGGAGGCCAAAATGGGGCCAAAACCTCGGTCAAATCCATGATTTTGGCTTGAAAGAAGAGCGGGGCATTAATTGGCCTCGCCCCCCCGAACTGTACTCCATACGCAAGTTGGAGGAAACTAGATGCGACGACAGGTACAGATTGAAGCTCGCTGAGGGGCAGCGAACGCGATCTGTGTTTCTGTGGCGACGGGGGAGAGGGCAGTGCTTTTGTGGGGCAAGAGCAAGCAGGAGCAGCCCAGTCGTCGGCAAGAGCAGACCAGAAGTCAGAGTTTCTCGCGAAGGGCGGCTGGGAGGATTGCTGTTGACCGATCAAACGCGCCCGCCGAGCGTACGGGGATCTGGCCCTGGAAACAACGCTGCCCCTCCAGCGACCTTCAGGTTACAGATTCCCGATGACCCGCTCCGATTAGGAACCCGAGCTGCGGGCTCCATAACGGGGGGGTCCGATTGAGGCACCTTCGCAGTTCATTCAATGACAAGGCTCCCGCTGGAGACTTCCTGAAGATGAATGCGTGAGTGTGTGAATGAGTGTAAGTGCGGGAACGTCGTGTGGCGATGATGATGATGATGTTGTTGTTGTTGATGATGATATGGCTGGTGAATGTGAATACGTGGTGTGGCGATGCTGCGGATGATTCGGATGATGACAGGATTCGTGATGTGATGCTGGTACATATGATTTATGATGGTTAGAATGATGATGGTGATGATGGTGGTGATGATGATAATGATGGTGGCGATTCTGATGGTGGTGGGAGGGTGATGATCGGAGGAGAGGGGGGTGGGTGAGGTTCCTGCGCGGTGCGTGTGTGTGTGTGCTGAGAAAACAAAACCAGTTTGAACATGGGGAAGCATAGCCCTCCATACCTCACAACTGTACATTGACGGCTGGAATTCAGCGCTCCTGATGCGAATAAGGAAGCGTCCACACAACGCGAACGCACCTGGCTTGCCTCCCCACCCGTCTCCCCCCGGCCTGTGCGGGCGCGACGTCTCATCATTATGACCTCTTGCTCTTCCGAACTGGGACCCAACCACGCGCGGCCTCACCCAGCCCGCGGACGCCCCCCAAAGACTCCACCTGAGGCTCCGTGGCGCCCCCGCTCTGCCCCCAGGAGGCGCCGAAGGGCCCCAACGAGCCTCCAGCCGTCGTCGTCGTCGTCGTCGTCGTCGTCGTCGTCGTCGTCGTCGTCGTCGTCGTCGTCGTCGTCGTCGTCGTCCTTGGGGGCGGCCGGGCCCTGGGCATCGGCGCGGCCCGCCCGGCAGGCGAGCGGCGAGTGCCCCAGCCACCGGCCGTGGCGGCGGCCGCAGGCACGCAGCGGCGGCCGCGCGCGGCGAGCGCGCCCCCCGTTCCTGGGCCCAGAGAGGAGGAGGATCGAGGAGGAGGAGGAGGAGGAGGAGCGAGGAGGAGGAGCGAGGAGGAGGAGCGAGGAGGAGGAGCGAGGAGGAGGAGCGAGGAGGAGGAGCGAGGAGGAGGAGCGAGGAGGAGGAGGAGGAGGAGGAGGAGGAGGAGGAGGAGGAGGAGGAGGAGGAGGAGCGGAGGGAGCGAGGAGCGAGGAGGAGGAGCGAGGAGCGAGGAGGCGGAGGAGGAGCGAGGAGCGAGGAGGAGGAGGAGCGAGGAGGAGGATCGAGGAGGAGGAGGATCGAGGAGGAGGCGGATCGCGGATCGAGGGATCCAGCGTGGGGGTGAGGAACAGGAGGATCGCGGACCGAGGAGAAGGATCGAGGATGAGGATCTTTTCGGTATCTCCTGCCCTTACCTGCCCTTCCCCTCCTTGGTGGTGGCCTGATCGAAGGGATGGTACCAGATGGGCGGCCTTCTAAGAAGGCGGGCGGGCTTCTAAGAAGGCATGGGGCCTCTTCGAAGACATCCCGCTTTGAAAGAGGCTGGACTAGAAACATCCGCGCGCTCCCACGAAGGCTGCTGCCTTCTCAGAAGTCCCCCGCCTTCTAGGAATGCCGCTTGCAGACCCAGAGATCCGACGTCGTGATTTTTTCAATACGGGGCCCCCGGAGGTCTCGACCCGTTCCCCGGGACCGGTTTTTCATCCTGAGTCGTTCTTTGACGGTCCCGGGGCCCGGCGAGGGCCCCTTGAGGCCGAAAATTGTGAAAAACCTCCGTCTTGATTTTGTCAATGCGTTGGATCTCTGGGGACGCTGCTGCTGCTCCCAGGGCCCCTGCACATCCGACCCCGGCACGGGCGTGCGGCGCAGCAGGTCGGGGTCCCTGCGCAGCTCCTGCATGGCCCGTGGCCGGGCCCGTGGCCGCGCTCGATGCCCCCGCGCAGCTGGCCTCCCGGCGCCCCGGGCCGGTCTCCGCCGGGCTCCCCTGACTCCTGATCCGCCCTACTTTGGGCGATTTCGAAAGTAGGGCGGAAATTTCCGCCCTACTTTTAAGGCCCCTTTGAGCGTCGATTTCCGCCCTTGAGGCTCCTTTGGCGTCGATTTCTGACACAATTTTAGGTCGGAAAATCATCCAAAGTACGGCGGATCAGGAGCCAGGGTCGGGCGCCGCGCCGCTGCGCCGACCCCCTCGCCTCCTGCGCGCGCCGCCCACCTCCTGGTCTCTCCGCCCCTCTCCCAGGCCCCGCCTCCTGGGTACTTCAAACAGCGCGAAGATCGGGACAAAATCGGATCGGGATAACTCGAAATCTCTGAGAATCGGCAGGTTTGGAGGATGTATTGGGCGCCGCGGCCACTCCAGAGCGTTCTGGAACGCTCTGAGAGCGCTCCGGAACGCCCTGGAGCGATTTATCCCTATCCTAGCCCTGTTTCGGGCTTGGCATCGCTCGGGCGTGTGCATCTTTTTCTCGGCGAAGGCCATCGAGGAGCATCCTTGAGCATTTGGCGAAAAAAACACGCACGAAACCGACAAAAACACAGGGAATGGACGTCCGAGCGATGGCGAGCGGGCGCCTCCAGCGCCGGGGAGGCGCCGGGAAGGCCGCCCGCGCGCAGCGGGGTTCCCCCAGCGGCCCCCCGGGGCAGAGCCGCGCGCTCCCCCGGGGCCTCCGAGCATTGTGCGGAGAGGGTGGCCGTTTTCTTAGGCACTGCTTGCCGATCGGCGCGGGCCCTCGCACCCCCCCCCTCTCCCCCCCCCATGGAGTAGACTCAGGAGGGGAAAAAACACACAGACACAATTAATAGTCGATTCCCAGAAAATGTAGGAAAGCATGGGAAATGGGGGGAAGACAGAAACCCAGAAAATATGGGAAAATATGGGGAGTCATTCTATTAGTGTGTATTTATTTATGAGTCTGAGGGCCCCTTCATAGACCCTGGCTGCCTTTTGGCGCCCGCCTCGAGCAGGCGGAGCCTCCCCCCATAGGGCGCACTGCTGCACACGGTCGCATGCAGCAGAGGTCCGGAGCCAGATCCCCCCCTCCCCTTC